TCTACGTTTAAATATAGCGGCTGTATCTCCGATACAGCCTGCAGACCAAGACGAAGGCGCTGGACTGTTCCTTTTTTTTTTGTGAATTCGGTTAAAAAAGGAAAATGAAGAGTTACTGATGAAATTTCTTTTCGAAATTTGAACAATAATCATTATCGCAACTAACAAATGCCCAGTTTTTCTACGCAAAATTATAACTTCAGAAACGATCTCCATACATATGTGATTTTAATCAATAGCAATCAGATTTAAGAATAAAAGCCGGTTCATTGGCCATTTTTATGAGCTTTTAAGGCATCAAAGTATCGAGTACGGACAAATAAAGGGCATTAAAAGAAATACAGAACATTTGGCGTCCCGTATTTAATACATAAAGTAACAGTACATTGGACGAAAAAAGAGGACTGTCTCGTATAATACAGGAAGGATGGTCACCGTAACTATACATATGTATGTATGTGTGTACTCACATAGTTAAACGGCGGGTAGTGAATTAGAAAATTGCTGCCGTCTTTTAGGCGTATCAGCTATAAAGTACAAAAACCCGTACTACTGTAGCTAAAGTACATTACACAGTAATAATACATTTACAAACTTGCAACCCTAGCATTAAGCTCCCTCCATTACACTTTGTTGTTTATGAGGTTTTTATGATTTAGTTCTGGCGGCCAGGCAATGGGCGAAGTTATTGGCCTCTTCACTTTGCCGACTGATTTCAATCCCTGCTGCAGCGCAGCCGTGAGTGCATGCCTCCTTGTGCGTAGGTATGTATGTGCACGAGTGTGCGCCTGTTCGCCTGAATGTATGCTATGCGGAAGGCTAAGGTATTTGGCGTAGCCTGGAGCGTGTGGAAGTAAGTTGGCATATTTTATTGCCTTAATATCTAGTTGCCTCATTGCCTTGCTGGCAAAGTTGCATATGTGCATATGTATTTTTTAGGTGTATATGAGAATCTAAGTAGATATGTATTTATATTGCGGTTGCCACATAAAATCGTTTAAGCTGTTGCTGTAGCTGCTACATTGGTAAATATTTGACTTTCTTGAATTATTAACAAAATGTTAATTTCTGCTAAATGTGATTGGCATTAGCGCAATGAAAATATATATATATATACATATACATATGCACATAACAAGTAACATTCAAGAGATATAGTGGATGCTTGTGGCTAATTAATTTGAAAGCCTTCGGGCACATTGAACGTATCAGGATAAATACTAAGATATAAAGTTCTAACTGCTTTTGCATATACATACATACATACATAAATTTGTTATTGCCAATACCTGAATTAATACAAACTTATAATGTGGGCATACATATATACGTCCATATGCACACGTACCTTCGTATATATGTAGATATATGTGTGTATGTATCTACTATATGACCCATTTCGTTTATGCAAATTAACTCCATATTCAGGTGGTTCAATTGCTGCTGAAATTCAATTTGCTGCTTCATTTCAGTTGAGTTCAAGCGAAGAGGTGAACAGCTAACTAACCTTTGGAGGCGCCTCAAAGAGAACACACATACATATATATATACACTACTTGTACACACATACCTATTCACATACTATGTATGTATGTATGTATGTATGTATGTATGTAAATCAGTACTTCACTAAAAATCCATCGAACGCACTTGAGGTTCAACAGATAGGTCACTCGTCTTGCCAATGCTCCTAAGGGCAACAGCAGTTGGTAGAAAACAATAACAAAAACAAACCGGCCATTGAGTGCATTGACTGTTGAAGAAATATTTCTATATACATACATACAAGCCAGCAGACTTCTTTAATAGTACATACATACAAAACATACTAACTTTGCAAACATATGTATGTATGTATGTATGTATCTCAAGCACCTCAGTTACACTAAAACGGAAATGCCGAAAATGGCAAAAGGCCGACCAGACCAGACCAAACCAAACCTAGCTGAGACTACTAGTTAAGCGGCGTACAAATATATGCTCATATGTAGCGATATTAACGGCTTCTCGCATATAAATATACATACATATGTACATATGTCTCCATCACCCTCGTCCTCCTGCTATTGCCCCCTGCAGATGACCATTATTACTGACCGAACACAATGAAAACGACGAGCTACGGACCACAGATGTCTAATTATTTTTCCACGTAGATAATTATTTTGGCGACGACAGGGCTACGCGACGACTGTGGTTGTGGCCAGATAAGATCTATTTCTATTTCTCCAGCGACAGATACGGTTCCTCCTCTTCTTTTATGTCAAACTCATAGAAACTCATGATTTCGCTGCCGCATTTAGATAATAAAGATAAAAAATTGTAAGCTCTGGCTCGTAGCTCGTCGTTTTGAATGTTTTCAGCATTTTACAATAACAAGTGACTAAAGAATTGTGGAGCGTTGCAATTAGAGGCACGCGCCAAATGCCTAGACCAACTTGCAGCGATAGCAGCACCACCATTCGGCCGTGGCTAAGAAGGTAGCGCTGTGGATCGCATTTTCTTTGGTACCACTGGATGTTAGATAAATGAGCGGTAGCGCGCGCTGCAGCGAGAGAGTCGATAGATGCGAAAAATAGAGCAATGTAAGAGCGTTAAAAATTCTGTTGAGCGTGAGAGTTAATTTAACAGTGTTGCATTTCGTATACCAGTGCAACTGTAGCGCAACTGTGGTATGTGAATTATGTGTCTGGTTGGCGGATGCATAAAAGCAGGTAGGTAATTTTCGGTTGTTATGATAAGAAAGCCGGTACTATGAAGTGCTAATTGCATTGCTAGCATTGAAATGGCTGAAATGAAAATTTTGTAGTAAAAACTAAAGGAAATGCACAATAAAAAGCAATTAGCGCTTTTAAATAAATTTAGTTTTTGCAGTAGATCACTTTAGAAGTACAAGCATACATACATATCGCTCGTTTGCCGGAGGATGGGCATAATAATTATTATTTTTTAAACGAAACTGAAAAAGAGTTAAATAATACGCGAGCGCATTTTTTGTGAAGGTAATCAGGCCTACATCGGTCGTTCGATTTTCAACACTGGAGGGTTGCCACTTGTTTAAAAAACCAAATTCAGTTTAAATGATGGCAGCAATTACGTAATTGATATGCATAACAATTTGGAAGTCAGACGAAAGAGATTCAAAAAGGTATAGGGTAGAAAATATTTCGAAGAGGATTGCCACCTCTAGGAAAGGTCGAATTTAATTTATGTAGTAATTGTGCAACATTAAAATATGGGTGTCAAATGAAGGAGTGTTTAGAAAGCTTTAGTTTGAATATTACGAATATTTTTAAGATGTTTGATGAGGGCTGCCACTTGTTTAAAAGATTAATTTCAAATTATTTACTAAAGTAAGGGAGTTATTAAAAGATGGGTATCAATCGAAATTAAAGGAATTATTTCTGAACTGTATTCAGAAGCGTTGCCACATGTTTCAATAATGAAATTCAACTTGAATTACGGCAATTAGGTTTTGCAAATTTGGCATCACAATATGGGTGTTAATACTATTCAGAAGTGGCTGATTCCTTCTGCCAAAACACGTCAGAGAAGTGAGCTGAAATAGGGCGTTCTCTAAAAGTTTTTTGAGATAGAGCTTTTTCGAACTTGCTGCCGAGATAGGTCGATCTTCAGCTCAGCCATCGATATGTGACAGAAATGTAAGTGAAAAATTATTCGTTGAACAAAAAGCACTTTAGGCATAAGTAAATATAATAAATCAATTTTATCGCAAAATAAATATCTGAATTAGCAGCGTTTATTGTAGTTACGCCGAATCTCCGTATATGTACACTAGGGTGGGTAAATTTTGTTTGTTTGTATGCGCGTATAGCATATGAGAATTCTACGTGGATTTTTAAACAAATTTGCTGAACAAAGTATGGGTCTAAGTTTCCGAGAAAATGTGAAAATGTTTCTCTTGGCACCCACGGGTGGAAGTTCTAAGAAAAAGATAATTGCAGAAATGGATTCATCATGCCAAAAAATCCTTTACAGCATTTTTGTATATAAAATTTCAGCACTTTTTTACGGCACTACAGTAAAATGCTAAGAAACCTATTTTCGGAATTTGGCAAACTCCAAATTGTTTTTAGACCCATGATTTCTTAGGTGAATGTGCCTAGAATTACACGTAGCATCTGTCTGTGCTATACCCGCATCGTCGAAAAAATCTTCCATACAAATTGACCCGCCCTAATGTACATATGTATGTACATATATTTCATAGGTATGCATTTGCAATATCTCAAACATACATACATACATACGCTGTCATCAATTTATATCTTCTTGTTATTTGTTTACATTCGCAAAGCCGCACTTACAATCCACAAACATTTAAGATTGTTATTGATGTCATTTTGTTTTATTTTTTCGTCGGTGTTTTGTTACTTTGCAAATCAGCTGCGAGACTCAAACAACCTTAACAATAACAAAATATAGTCAAACTGGTTTTTCTAGCAGTTCAAGCAGTTCTTTTGTTGTGCTCAGGCAAATAAACAAAACATCGACGCAGCTCTCTCGCATAGCGCAGTAAGAATTATTTTTAAAATTTTTGTAAGTGTGTTGAAATCACCCAAAAGATGAAATGCAGACACGCTCCACATCAGATTGTTTAACAGTTGATACATAGATAAATGTCGTTTGGGTGGATTGCCGGCTCTCGTCAAGATTGTGTGAGTGGGAGTCATCTTATGCATACACAGATGCAATTGCATTGGAGTTGTGCATGCGCATATCTTTATATGGGTGGGAGCCGGAGCCTCTCTCTCTCTCTAAATTCGCTTACGTGTTCGTGTGTGAGTGCCTATGCAGCCCGGTGCATTTCCGTCGGCTTCCTTTCCAACCCACATACATATGTAGGTATACCCAACGCCATCGTTCGTCCATATTTCCTCGGCGCCGTTACCGACGATGGCGGCGATTCTTGTAGTTTGCGCCTCTCTCTCGTACGGCTACCAACTGGGAAAGCCAATCAGTTTGTCGCAGATACTATCCCGGCGCGGTTGTTGTGTACGGACAAAATACGGTGCGTTTATTAGCGAACGAATTGAACGCGGCACTCCAAAATTTATAGCAAAAAAAAACCAAGTGAATTGATGCTAAGTATTAGAATTAAAAATTTGAATATTGTGTACTGAAAAGTGTATCACTGATTAAATGAGAATTTTGTGTGCGAAAAATCCCCAATCATACTAAAGTTGCAAAATTCTTGTAAGAGTAAAAACAAAAACCAAAAATATTCATAAAATTTGAGTCTATTGAAATTACCTACTCATCTACAAAGTTCGAAACACAGAGCAGCAGCAGCTCTTTTTTTGTGCTCCATGCAACACAGCGCGGTTGGTATTACAAAAATGTCTTTTATTTCCTTGCGGATGCGACAGCAGCGACGTTAACGGTGGCGGTGAACCCAGAATACTCGCTCGCATTGATAACCAACGCGGCGCAATCTAACATCCGCGTGTGTAGGTATGTATGTGTGTGTGTGTGGGCGCATCTCGTCTTCTACCTCTTCTCCTCTTTCTACTTTAGCTAGCAGTAAATATGAAAATTTATTTAGAAAAAAATATTTTCAGCGTTTATGTGCAAAGGTTGTATGAAGAAAATTAGAAAACAACCCCAAATAGGCAGCGAATATTAACGAAGATGGTTGAGCATAGCAGTCGATAGGTTGGAGGGCAGGGTAGTGGGGTGCAGTTTACTTGTAACAGCATAGATGAATATAAACATAAAGTGTATATTTACAAGAGAAACCAAAACCACCAGCAGACGAGCGTGCAGCAAAAATAAGGGGATTTATACATACATACATACATATGTACGTATGTATGTTTGGAGTAAATGTATAAGTACATATATAACCCAGACAGGCCAGGCAGACACTTGAGCGGGCAGAGTACAAAGAGACTTAACAAAACAGCCAGACCATCATCAATGAGTTTGTTGTCCGTGTGTCGAAGGCACAATTTGGATTAAATGAATTTGTTTTGTTTTTTCTTTTTTTTTGGACTTTTTGGTTTTTGGAGTCCTTCTTTGTATGTTTATCACTTTTTTCTATTTATATGTAGGTAGGTTTCTCCTTTTTCGGCGCACAAAACAAAAAGCAGCAATTTTAGGCGTAGACCAGCACAGGAAGAACGTTAAATTGGGAACGCATATTTACTCGAGTAGTAAAAAAAACAGAGAGAAAAGGAAAAAAATCGCAAGGCAAATTAAGGTGTTTTTTTTTGTAAGAGCCACAGCTACAAGGCATAAAGTCAGTGTCAAATGTTAGTGTACAGCTTGTTCTATTATAATATTTACAATTATTTTCATTCAATTTTTTTTTTATTAATTACTTGCATACTTGAAAATTTTATAGAAATTCTGAAAAAAAATTAGGAAATTTTCATGAAATTTTTTGGAATTTTATGAATTTTATATAAAGTGTGAAGCTTTGATTTATACGATTTATGTTAACGAATAAATACATAATAATAATAATACATAATCATACATAAATAATTAATGAAAAAAAAAATTTAATTAAAATATGTATAGGTATTATATTAGAACAAGGTGTACACTAACACTTGACACTGACTGTATATGAACGTGCTACTGCAGCCGATAGAGCTAGAAAGATGCGAAAAGAGATAAGCAAGCAAAAATCGATTTTTTTTTTAATATTCGAAATTTAAAATGCACGGTGACGACGCAAATGAATTTTTTTTTTGATTGCTTTGGATCCTGAATTGGTTAATTAAGTGGAAAAAATTAAAAATTGAAACGGAATTAATGGTCTTAAAATATTAATAATGATAAAATTAAATAAAAATTTTAGCAAAATTGTCCCAAGCAGATGTTTGTTTTTGTTTTGATCAAAGAAGGAAGAAAATAGGCACACATATTAAAATCTAAAAAAGGAAAGAGTTAGGGACAATCTAAAAAAAAATTAAAAAAAGTAAAATGTACATTATAATAAAAAAAAACATATAAACACAAAAAAAAACTTAAAAATATGAATTATTAGGCGTGACGAATGGCAATTTATTCAAAGACGAAAAAAATATTTAAAACCAATTAAGCAAAGGCATACGAAAATTCTGCCAAATCTGTGCTGAGTAGGTACAAGTCTGAGCATGAAAAATTATTAAAATTTAATTGAATAATACGCTGAATTTAATGTATTTATCAACAAAACTATGCAATTTTAAAACCTGCCTATAGGAAACACTCAAAATGAACAACAAAAACATTGAAAATAAAAACTTTAAAATAATTAGAAAGTCATAGTTTTAAGGAAATATCAAAAATACTAACTAACAAAACACGACGAACCATCGAAATATCAATAAAATTAATTATGATATAAAAACTATTGAAATATAATTTTTCGTAAAAAAAATTGTAACGAAAAAAATTTGTATGAAAAAATACAAAATTTGTATGGGCATATGTACATAAGAGGATACATAAATTTTCAAAGCCAAATACATAATACAATTTGTTCTTGAAAAAAATTAGAGTAAAAAACGAGCATGAAATACAAAAGTGCAAATAAAAACATTTAAAAATAAAAAGGTGTTGCAAATGAACCAAAAACTCGAAAAGAAAAAATTCCCATAAATGCAAAAAGTTC